GGTGGTTGAACCATGATTCTAACCCAACCCCAACTGTTAACAGATTTCGGAATCATCAGCTGCAGTCAATGGGTCCCAGTTGGATTCTGTATCCAAGGGCAAAGAGCCAAGCCCATCCGCCTCACCTAAGCTCAGCTCCAAGCCAGCTGTCTTCAGCACGGATCCCACTCAGTCGGTCACGCTGCCCCCACGAATGCCAGACGACTCCGCTTCAGAGCAGATGGGAGGAATATTATATCGGAAGCAGGAAATGGAATCCCATGGCAAAAAGGCAGCTAACAGGTGATGTATGTGTGGAAGGATGTGCCAGAAGGGGTTAGAAAATCCCATAATTCCACCTAAGTGGCAAGATCCAGAGGAGGGGTCCCTCCTAATTTGCAGGACATGAGAACGATCTGATGGAGATTGAGAAGCCACCATGCTGGGAAGCTGAAGGTGGCCTTCCCTGGCGTGGAGGAAGGGCTCTATTGCATGGACTTCAGTTCCCAGAATCCTTAGTCAATATAGACCTTGCTGAGAATCCTGGGAGCTGATATCCTCACTTTTTCTAAGTAGCTGGAATGGAGGAAGCTGCAGCACCATTGGTTCTCTGAGAATTTCCGTGCAGCTCTGTGAAGCAATAAACAAAGTCAGGAAAACATGAGAAGTGCACCAGCAGAACTCAAGGAGATGAGGATGGATGATGAGGATAGGCTTATAAACAGTTTAGAACAACAAGAAATAAAAAAGGGGCAAAGATGGTCAAATGACAAATCAGGCAGACACAAAAGACAGTCTAACTCAGGGGTGTTAAACTGGCGGGTCACTTCCTGGCCACACGCACCCCCCGGTTTAGCAAAGGGGGGAAAAGTCGCAATACGTCACAGGACAATGATCTGTGGACTTGAGTTTGACACCCCTAACCTAAGTTAAAAGGAGGATTCAGTCATCCCCCATCTTGGTAAAGAACCAGCTCTCCAGGGCCTCTGAAATTTTGTGTGTGTGCATGTGTGTGGCGTGTTACGTGTTACTCAGGAGGGGCCTCATTCCTGTCCTTTCAGGATCCCATGAGATCAGGGTTTCTCAAATCATGGCAATTTTAAGCCGTGTAGACTTCAACTCCCGGAATCCCCCAGCCAGCATTGCTTTTAATATGCCTGGAATTCTGGGAGCTGAAGTCCACATGCCTGAAAGCTGCTAAGGTTGAGAAACACTGCAATAGTGTTTTATTAACTGAATTTAATTTTAAATAAAATTAATTATTAACTGAAGGAACCCAGAATGCATCAACTCTGCCAGTTTTGAACCAGCCAGGCATTTACTTTCGAGGGGAAATATTCGAATGGGGAGGACAGATGGGAAATGCTTCTGCTCATCCTTCTTGTCTGGCCTCCCCAGGTCTTGGCAGACCATCTATTGTGTGGTGCAGAAAAACAGCTTTGGGTTCTACAAAGACGGCAAACACGCCACCAACAGCATCCCCTACCACGGGGAAGCACCTATCGGCTTGCAGGGCGCGCAGTGCAACGTGGCTCTGGATTACAAGAAGCGCAAGCATGTCTTTAAACTCGGGTGAGATTTCCAGCCTTATGGTCAAGTCGTGCCGGCTGCATTTTTTAAAAACAATTTTTTTGTTTAAGTGGAGGGTTTAGACATTCCTCCGCTCACACCAATTGATCCTTATTGGCCTTTCTTGTCTTGGCAGATTAACAGATGGCAAAGAATATTTATTCCAAGCGAAGGATGAGGTGAGTTGAAGTCTAGAGATTTGTTCCATATCAGAGTTTTCCAATCTTGGCAACTTTAAGACGTGTGCATACTGGCTGGGGAATTGAAGTCCACCTGTCTTAAAGCACACAGTTGGGGGATTCTGGGTGTTGAGGTCCACCTGTCTTAAAGCACATTTGGCTGGGGATTCTGGGAGTTCAGTTCACCCATCTTAAAGCCTCCAAACTGGGGGATTCTGGGAGTTGAAGTCCACCTGTCTCAAAGTCGCCAAGGTTGAGATTCTAAGAGTTCTTTTATTCCATCTTCCAGTTCTATCCTGCTTTTGGTTGGGGTTTGGATGATTGGCTGGAAATATTCTTTTGTCCTTCATGCCCCCCCCCTCCCTTTTTTTTTAAATTCCCTCCCTTCCAGGCAGAGATGAGTACCTGGATGCGAGTCATCAATGCCGCTGCTGCGTCCGCCCTCACCCCGCAAGACCCCGCGGAAGATCAGCCTGCGCTCATCAGCAAAGGCATGACGCGAGCCATGACGATGCCAGCCGGGGCCCCGCACAGCGCCTCGGAAGGGACTGTCACCCTGCGTAGCAAAGAGGCCAAGGAGAAGGACCGCGAGAAACGTTTCAGTTTTTTCAAGAAGAACAAATAAGGAGTCTTCGGTGGGAGAGGGGGCAAGGGGGGGTCTCTGCTGCTGTTGGCGAAATCTGTACAGGCCTGAGCAGTGATATGGGGTGCGGCGAGGGGCTTGATTCGGCAAGGGGAGCCGGTTGGGGGGTGGGGTTGGGTGTAACCAAAGCGGCCGTGGCTCTTTTCTTAAAATCCTGCAGATTGCATGAAGCATCTCTGACGTTTACCAGGAATGCCTTCCGTTCCAGGCCCCCTTCCTTCCCCGTAACAATAATAACAACAACAGAAATCGAAACCAAAACAGGCCACGTCGTCTTGGTCGAAACGGGAGGGCGAACCAGTGGCAAAGACGGTTGTGGCGGCACAAAAGGGTCGGGGGAAGGCCTCCCCAAGGAGCGGGGCAGCAGATTGTCAGATGCTGGACATCTAGTGGGGAGGGCGGAGGCCCGTGGGTCTGGGCAAACAGGCCACAGAAAGAGAGGTGGCACGGGGCTGATCCCAGACCGGCCTTTTTAACGACGCTGGCCTCTTTGTGGGTTCTGGTAGCAGCGACCCCAATGAAAGTCCCACAGGTCCAAAAGTCGGGCTTCGGGAGTCGATTCTACTACCTTGGCTCACTCACTTCCTCCTCCTCCTCCGTCATCTGTGCTCCAAGGCTGTGAGATTTTCCCCTCCCCCCCCTCTCTCTCTGCAGGCAAAATCCCATTTGGAAAAAAGTTATCAGTCTATGCGCCACTTCGGCCCCCCGTGCAGAGCCAAGAGGAGCCTCTTCTCACCTGCCCCCTTTCAAAGTCCCGCCTATATACACACTTCACGCAGCACACAGACACCCACCCACCCACCCCTCTAAAAACCAAACCGAGGATGCGCAACGCAGTGCCGTTCGTCCCCGGAGCTTAAGTACCACTTGTGCGCCTTTAGTTTAGGAGTGCGCCCCCTCCTGTGGGAAATGAAGCCGGGCCAAGGATGCTGAGCTTGCCGAGCGCCTTTTTACGGCTCGCGTAGCAGGGTATGGAGGCGGGAGGGCAGAAACGCTGGGGAGGATGATATACACCCCCCCTGCAGCCGAGTCTTGGGACCTGGCTGGCTGCCCTCCAAAGTTGCCTCGCAGTGCCTAAAAGTTAGGATCTCTCAGGCGCTCCAGGGTGGGGATCGTCAGTTAAGATCCCCGATGCTTGCTAAGAGGTTCTCGACTAGGAAGCCCGAGCTAGATCCCTCTCGACCCAGGGAGCAGCAATCAATGCCAGCCCCCTCTTTGCTTTAAAATCCCACCCCCCTGTCCACGCAACACATGGCGACGCTGTTATAACCGATTCTGTTCTGGATTTGGGGTCCTTTGGGGGCAAAACTTTCCCCGACTCGCACGCTCCAGCCCAGGTGATGCCAGCTGAGAAATCGGAAGGCGAGGTTCCAATGCACTTGGTGGCTCTCTGTGCTTGGGGAGGCTGGTTTCCTAGCCCCCTCCCTCCCTCCCCCCCACGCCCCAGCCTCTATTCTATGCAAAATTCATTGACCCACACTCACCCCCTTTTGTTAAGTCTCGGAGGGCACCGAGTCCTCGGAGTCAGAACAGAAAAAAACCACCTTCCTACCAGTAAGGAAGATTGCCAAGTGGTGGAGTTTCCTTTCCTCGGGCAACCTGGGTAGCATCATCGCTCCCCAGTCGATCACCTAAGAGGTTTGAAGGTTGATCTTTGCCTCCCGTGGCTACGGGCCACAGATCTCCCCTCTCCCCCAAGCGAGAGAACAGCTTGCAGGGCCTAACATAGAAAACAGGAGGGCAAAATCTTTCCCTAGAGCTCTGCTGCATTGCAATGAAATTCTCATCCATCCACTGGCGAGCACCCAAGTTGGCACATTGGGTTGGCTGGACGCCGCTCGCACAGTTGCTTGCCGGGGTCTCCTGGACCGGAGCGTGACACCCCCCCACATACACACACTCTCTTCTCTTCCTGTCTCCCCGGCCTTGGTCCCTGGACCTGGGTGTGCCTTCCATTGGTCCTCTGATGTCTCCCTGCATTGCCACCTCACCTCTGCAGCTTTGCCTGGCGCAGAGAGCATCGCCTCTCTTCCCTTCGGGCACAATTTAGGATGCCAAAAGCAGCCTTGGCGCACGGAATGGGGTTGCAGAAAAGACCCAGAGGGACGGCCTGCCTGCCTTCCGATGCGCAGGAATGTTGTTTTTCTTTCTTTCTTTTTTTCTTTTCCATGCTACTTGAGAGGAAAGGGGTGGAGGAGACCCGGCCTACAAGTGAGACACCCTTGCCTTCTTCGGCACGCCCCTCATGGGCCCCCAGCAGTATTCTCTGTGCTTGTTGGGGACTATTATCCATGTGTTTGCAGTGACATCTGTTCCAATATTTTTTCTTTTGGAGAAATAAAAAGAATCTGTGGAGAACTGTGGAGTGCTGCTTTTTCCTTCTTCGTAGGGGCAGGTCGCAAAAATGGAGCTTTGGGGACCCATCGCCTTTCTCCAAACGGATCAGGTTCATTTCTTGCTAACCCATCGTGTTTTGCCAGTTAGGGCCCTGGAAAGGCTGTTGTCATTTGCCTTCCAGGGATTTGGCATGACGTGCAAAGTTCTCCCACGTGCACGAGATGGTCCAGCAAGTAAAATCTTCCCCAGTCCCTCCCTGCTCTATGCTTTTAAATCAAGGGTGGACAGCTATGGACTTCAACTCCCAGAATTCCTGATCAAGCATGGCTGGCTCAGGAATTCACAGAATAACAGAGATGGAAGGGACCTCAGAGGTCTTCTAGTCCAACCCCCTGCTCAAACACCCTAGGCCTATACCATTCCAAACATGGTGGTCTAATCCAGGGATGGGGATTCAAATTTTTAACAACTGGTTCTGTGGGTGTGGCTTAGGTGGTGGGCGTGGCTTGGTGGTCATGTGACTGGGTGGACGTGGCTTGGTGGTCATGTTACTGGCTGGGCGTGGCCAACTCAATATCACTCACATCACTCGCATCTCCTCGCCTGGCCTCTCGTGACTGTGGGGATGCTGCAACAGTCATAAGTGTGAAAATGGTCATAAGTCACTTTTTTCTGTGCCATCGTAAATTTGAATGGTCACTCCACACAAGCAAAGTACCAGCAAAGGAAGGGAAAAAAACTCCAGAGAAGTTCCTGAGACCGGAAGTCTAGTCCTGCCAAGAATGTAATAAGAGGCAGTTTCTGTAAGCAACACCAGAATGTTTCCTTCCTTACAGGCCAGTTTCCTTCCTTACAGGCCAGTAATTTCTTCTAACAACCGGTTCTCCGAACTGCTTAGAATGTTAGCAACCGGTTCTAGCCAATAGGTGCGAACTGGTAGAATCCCACCCCTGGTCTAATCTCTCCTTAAAAGCTTCCAGTATTGGAACTCCTACAAGTTTTGGAGACAAGTCCAGAATTAGTTATTCTCAATTTTCACCCCTTTTACTTCATTCTGATCAATGACTTGCGTCAGCAATTCAAGGATCTAACGAATCAATTCAGTATATTATTTGTTTTCTCACCAGTGGCTTGTCTTTCCAGACTACAAGGAAGAAAAAAAGTTAAATACTCCCTTGATGTGAGCTTGATTCCCAGTGACTACAGACACAACTCAGATTCTTTAGACCAGTGATGGCGAAACTTTTTGTTGCGGTGTGCTGACACCCACAATGCAATGCACCCCGCCCCCCCGTGCATGCATGCACAACACCTCCGCAACCCCCTTACCTGCACTACGCATGCCTCCCAGCTGATTTTTGGCGCGTTTGATGCCTTTTTTGGCCTCCCAGAGCCTCGAGGGAAGCCTCTGCAGCCTTTGGAGGCCGAAAAATGGGCCTGTTTTTTGGCCTCCAAATACCGGAGGTGATGAAATGGGCTCGTTTTTTGGCCTCCAAAGGCTGCAGAGGCTTCCCTCGAGTCTCTGGGAGGCCGAAAAAGGCCTCAAATGGGCCTCAAACCAGCTGGGAGGTGCGTGCATGCGCAGTGCAGGTAAGTTTGTCTGGGTCTCGTGTGCCCGCACAAAATATCTCTGCGTGCCACCTGTGGGACACGTGCTATAGGTTCGTATCACGGCTCTAGACAAATATTGGTTAGAAGAATTTCCCCCCCCTCCAACTTCGCCTGGTGGTCCCCCATCCAACCAGCCTGATCCTTAAGTTTATTTTCCTTTGAAAGAGCTTCACCTGTTGGTTTGTTGCTTCGAATTATAATAGGGCTGTAGAGAAGTGGGGATAACATAATTTCCCAGCCTTTTCCAACAACTTTTATGATATCCCAGTCAAAACCAGTAAAAAAAGGGTATCCACCCTTGGCAACTTTTAAGACTGGTGGACTTCAACTCCCAGAATTCCCCATGGCTGGCTGAGGAATTCTGGGAGTTGAAGTCCACCACGCTTCAAGTTGCCAAGGTGGGAGACCCCTGCATTAGAGAAGGGCTGAGAAGCCAGGCTTCCAAGTCTCCTTCAGCCAAAAGACTTATGGAGTGAGTGCTTCTGTTTTGCCTACCTCACAGGGTTGTTGTGAGAATAAGTGGGATGCTTGTTGGGGTGGGGAGAAAAGAGCAATAAATAATTATTCAACGAATGCATATAAAGAAACTTCCTTTTCACCCAGGAACACACACCCATAGCCTTCCCACCCCCCCTGCTCTTCCTTGTGGATCGTTCCGATTAGGGCTTCGTCCACCCCTTTTAAAAAGTTCATAATGGAACCGCCCAGTTCCTCCTCTTCGCTCCCCCTTGAACAGTCTGTCCCCCCCCCCCCACCCCCCCCCCCTTGGCACAGTCTCCCCCCCCCCCCCGCATCTGCTCGAATGGAAGAGTCTGGCCTAACTCCTCCCCCTCCGGTTTTGTCTTTCTCCCCTTCGCCCTTCCTTTGGCACTGGTTAACTTTCGGCCCTTCTTAAAAAAGTGTCAAACTTCGAATGACCAATTATCTTCCCCGTCCCCGGATTTATTACCACCTTTTCCGGCTGACTTCCGGCAAGTGTTGACATTCCCTCGCCTAACACGATTGGCCGAAGGCTTGACGTACAACGCAAGCAAAGGCAGGGTCACTTCCCATCGCCTCATACAAGACGCTAGCCAATCGCCTTTGGATTTTGCTATAGTCGACGAGCTGATTGGGTAAGCCGTCTTCCAGACACTTTCCGCTCTGGCCATTCGTACTGGCCGGCGTCTCTCGACGGAACCAATCAGAACCCAGGAGAAAAGGAGGAGGAGGAGGTGAAGTTTAGTTGCCGCCGGCGCTGCCATTTTGTGCTGAGGTTTGTGAGGGGCCGGACCGGGCGGGTGGAAGAAGCGGGCGGCGGGGGAAAGTGCGTGGTGGAGGGACTCAGGTCGCGGAGGCCTGCATCCAAAGCGGAGGCTTTGGCCTTCTGCCTCGACTAAGACCAATATTTTCTGAAACTAAGACTGAGGGCGCACATAGAATAGAAACACGCCCACAGCCATACACTCCACACACGGATACACAACCATGGCCTCTGCTCGTACAGAGTTCGGCTGGTATATTACACAAACATACAAACACACACACTATCTATAGATAGATACAGAAATATAGAGATGCATGCACACACACCTCATGGCCTCTGATCGAACAAAGTTCTGGTATATTACACACACATATATACTATTTCTATAGATACAGTGATAGATATATAGATACATACATATGCACACATGCATAAACCATGGCCTCTGCTTGTCCAAGTTCTGATATATGACACACACATGCATATACATACAATCTCTATAGATAGATGAGATTAAATGATATGATATAGATTAAATGTCGTGTGGTGTATGTGTGTATATATATGATACATACATGTATGTGTGTATATGTGTGTGGTATATACACACCACACGCATGGCCTCTGCTCATACAAAGTTCTGATATATTACATACACACACTTATAAATACTATACACACAAATAAATACACATACACAGACATACCCCAATTACAGAACAACCTGTGTATTATACCTATATTTTCCTGGTATCTCCTGCAAACAGTGGTGGCAGCTTCTTCCACAGAGTTAGGAT